ATCTATCTATCTATCTATCTATCTATCTATCTATCTATCTATCTATCATCTACTAATCTATCATCTATTTATCGCTCTCTACTGTTTCCCTCCTTGTCTCTTTCTCCCTTCTTCCTTTGTTTTCTTCTTTCTTCCATCTCTTTACCCCTTCCATCGCCTTTTCCCCTCATTTCTCCTTTCTTCACACAAATCTTTCCCATACCAATTGTCGTAATGTCTACAAGAATTTCAAATCTGCTATCTTCATTTATGATACATAAATTATACTTAATCACCACATAATAACCATACTTGGCTGCAGAATTTACCAGAATCTACATGGAGGCAAGTATCCACTCTTTTATTCTCTTTGATTTCTGAAAAAAATAATCGGATCAAGGTCCTGATTTGAATTAAAATAATTCCTGTAAATCCTAGAGCACTGTTCTAATCCTCATCAATGACAAAAGTTGAGTTAGGCTTAGATATAAAAAACACCAAGTGTAGTTTACAGGGTGGACATATTATTGTGTACAACAGGGACTTGACTCAGTGTGCCATTCCCCCAGTCCTCTTGAAATTCTTCCATGACTTTCTCAAACTTTGTAATTCTGTTTGATCAGCATTAGAAATGCTTTTCAGTATTAATAGAATTTACAGTGTTTTTCATGGAGATATTCAGTTCATAGGAAAATGCAGTGGGTAGATGCTGCAATAACAGGATCATGTAACACACAAACATACATACAATTACATATGAGTGGGGCTTATCTTTAGTTGTTTGTTTTTTGATTACACCAGAGGCCCTGACTTAGGAAGAGCATTATATTTCTGAAATAGAAATGAAGTCATAGCAGTCTTTGGACAGGCCAACAGTGGCAAATTGACCTGCTTGAGAATAGCAAGTGGGTTCCCATTATCAGAATGGTTTCCTGGCAACAACAGCTATAGCAATGACAGGTGAAACACTCAATATGGAGAAATCATTAGGAGACATGTTAGACTGAATACTCAAGGTAGAGAAAGACCTTTAATGTCAGAAGGTAAATATAAATATAATGTTATTTTAAAAATATTATTTGTTAATTTAGTGTGCATGTGTGTGTCAGTTTTTTGTGATTGTATGTGCTTGTGTTTGTGACCCCGTGTCCCATTCCTACATGTGGCGTTTTAAGGGACAATTTCTGGAAATCAGTTTTCTTATTGACAGTGTGGATTCTAGTGTCGATCTCTGGTCATCAGACTTCTGGAAAGCCACCTACCTAGTCTTCAACTTTTGCAGTTATTGTAATTTATTCCCATTGGTGAAAGACAAAACTTGGGATGGGTAAAAATTAAAAAAAAAATTAAAAGAATATTTCCAACAGCAACTCTGAGATGTTTACCATGAAGGGAAACAAAAACAAAAACAAAAAACCCAGAAGCATAGATAGTTCATGATGGCCACATGCTATAGTGTTAGAATTTGACAGTGTTTATGAGTAAGATGAATATAGCTTTGGGGTGGGAGTTAGGATGACAATGGATAGGTCCCGAAATTGCTAGAAGTGTTGCTAAATGAACTATGTCATCTGAAAGTAACCAATGAAAGACATAAAATGGTAACTAATAAACATGGGCAGATAAAGTATGTTTATATTAAAGAGTAGTGATTTTGTTAAAAAAATTACCAAGAAACAGGTAACAATTTGTAATAGTGTCAAAGAAAACTGTAAAAGCATCTTAAGAGAATATGGTGCAAGTTACTACAAGTGAAGAATTACTTTCTAAGACCTAAGTTCTTCAATCCTATTTTACTGCTCTGGAGATCTCAGTTCTGAAAACAGACACATGCAAAGGCCAGGTTATATAGTAGACACTTAGACACTGACATTAAAAGGGAAAAACATTTGTAACTGATTCGTTATTTCCCAGGTACATCCGTGTCTTTCTCTATGCATAAATCCTACTCTTACTGCAAATGAACACAGAACAGGAACATAATCTGATAAATCAGCATCAAATTGGATATTTTGTTCTGTGACTTCTCAAACAAGGACAGCTTGATGTATTTTCTGCCCACTCAATAGGTTCACCAAACAATTTATTTTCCTCAGAAATGTATTTTTATAATCTTCCAAAATGAAGAGACATGATTTCACAAGACAGGCCTATCAAGAGACATTGCCCATTTGCCTGTCGTACAACTTTAGAAAGCAAGGCTTTCTTCCTGATTTCATGTCACTAGACTAGTAAGAGGGCAGATGACATTATATAGTAGCATAAATTATGAAATATGTTACAATAAAATTATGTAAAACTTGGATAGCCTATATAAACTTCTTGTAACTACAGAAGCTTCTATATACATAATGCCTATATTTTGTATGTCAGTAATTAAAATACTGCAAAACCCAGTGATTTTAATAAAAATATTACTTCTGAAAAAAATTTCTAATAACATTTCTCTAAGACAATTATATGATGAATAATTGAAATGTATATAAGATAAATAAGTTAAGATAATTTATTCTTCAAGACAAATTAAAAATAAAGTTTCTTTCTGGCTTGCTTACCTTTTTTTATCCTTATGATGCCTTTACCCCCAAGCTCAAGAAGGCACCACCCACAGTGGTCATGGTCTACCAGTATAATTTAATACTCAAAGCTTTCCCACAGACAAACCCACAAGCTCATCTGTGGTTAGCATTTATTCAGTTGTGATTCTGCCTTCATGCTTATATGTAGATGTGTGTCAAGTTGACAAAAAAAAAATGACAATACTTTATAGACCAGGACTTGACACAAATATATCTCCAGAAGATCATATGGGAAAATATCAGAAATGTATAATTCTATGTATCACAAGCATTTAAGTAATTAATCACCACACAGAGTTCTTGCTCTTTGAGTAAGTTCTAGAATGATATTTCTGTTTTAATGAAAATATTTTCATAAAAATATTGGATTATAAAACCAAGCATTTCCACAATTTTAAAACAGGATATATTTTACTCACAAACAAACAAACCATGCCAAAAAAACTACCATTGGTGCTGATGAGATGCCCGAGTGGTTAAGAGCATATATTGCTCTCATAGAGAATCAGAGTTCAGTACCCCCCTGCAACTGCAGCAACTCCTACTGTATGGGATTTGTTGCCTCCTTCTGGTCTCCTTAGGGACTACACTCATTGTACCCACACACACAAATTCACATACATAGAGAAGTAAAAAAAAAATGAAGTAAATTGTTTTTAAAAATCTGTTACCAGCATCTATTGTATAGAGAAATGGCTTTCTAATTAAACTTAAAATTTATATTAAGTAGCAGAAATCATAACTTCTATCTGATTCACAGTAAGAAAAGTGTATTTAATTAATTAAGAAAATTATCTCCATTTTCATTTTGATTGATGTGTATATTTGAATCATATATCAGCCTATGAGAATTTTCACTAAGTCTAATTTTTTTTGCATGGAAAGCAATCATTATGAACTTCCTCCATTTTCCTGTAATAGTGGATGTTCCCATGCAAGGTGACTCTTCAAACAGTAACTGCATTCAGAGTTGATGCTCATAGAGTTTTGCAGTGCCAGTGGTGAGCCAAGTATCATCTATATCTGACAAGGACAACCCTGATTTTTAAGAACAAGGGAGACTCTACATGTACAAATAGATATCTGCATTTGAAAATAGTGTTAGACAATATGCAACTTATGAAGTAAAGGAAAAAAAAAACTAAACAAAATCTACCTTCAAAGAAAATGACTAACAATACTGTATTTCCAAAAGACATAAAAAAATATCTTATTTGAGCATTCAAAGCATATTTTACACTTCAAACTGTACCTTGATTGTGAAAAATCCTTTTGATTTTTTTTTTCATTTACACACAGAAAAAAATCT